GCAGCAGCAGCCACTACTGCTGCCTGTGCCCCATTCCCATTCCCATTCCCATCCGCAGTACCTGTCTGCGGAGACTCTGCTGCGACTGGAGACACTGCAGAAAAGTCTGCTTTTCAGCTCACTGCCGCCGCCCCTGGCCGCCTCCTTTCTCGCGAGAATGCCCGGGCACTTTTCTGCTGATCGGGTGGCGGCAGGGCATCATCATCATCTGCTCTCATCGGCTGCACTACCACATTTTGAGCAGCACCCCAATCATCATCATCATCATCATCATCAGCATCAGCACCTCTTTGCCCCCTCTTCCCGGGTTGTCTGTGGCACAAACACTAGTACCCTTGCCCACTCCCCAGTGTCGCCCTCCCCTTTGCCCTCGCCCACTACCACAACTTCACCACCGACTTCAACAGCAGCAGCAGTTTTTCTCTGTTAGCAAAGTACTCATTTTGTTCATTGTTTCAGCTCCCTATTCCCCTCATTTGATTATTCCGCTCATTTACTTTAGAGTGAATGAGCGCAGTATGTGCAGGCAGGCACTGCCGCTACTACTTTGCATAGCCATTGTCAATCCCATTCAGTCCCCTCTCTCTCTCTCTCTCTCTATTCCCCTTCCATTGACCATAAACTCTCTCCCTCTCTGGATGGGCACTTTGAACGGCCGGCACCAGATGGAACAGCGAGATGAACACGAAGAGAGACGCGGAGAGTGTCGCACTGTCGGACTGGCGCGAGATACTGGCCATGGATAGCGCAGATGAAAAAGAAGAAAAAGAAAAAGAGAGAAACTGGCAAGTAGCGAGTTGTGCTTCACTCTATGCTCATGGTGCACTGCTATATTAGGACAAGAAGAGTGCGTCACTAACTCGGTGAGTGCTCTTGTGTTCAGTTCAGATCGGTTTTGTGTGCTGTGTTGTGTCTGCAGTCTTGTTGTCTTCTTCTTCTTCTTCTTCTGCGTAGCTCACGGTTTAGCTAATGGGTGTAAGCTGAGAGTGGCAAGTGTGGCACTCTGTCTGTGTGTCCAAGCTGGCGCACACAGACACAGACAGCCTTGGTACAGATGTATCCACGACTGCAGTACTCCGCTGAGGAGGGAAAGGGCAAAGGAAGAAGAGCAGCAGCAGAAACATCAGCAGCAGCAAGATCAGTCTCCTCGACCGCCATGGACTGCCACAGGCTGCAGCTGATCACCGTCCAGATTGTCCACTGGTCAACTGAAATCAAAGTTAATTGATCGTGGTGGTGGCTGATGTGTACACACACAAGTGACTTGTTGTGCAAGACCACCACTCATCAATTCAATCATCAGTCACTTACTGCTTTCACCCTACTACTACTCACCATCATCATCATCACTATCTCTTACTTGATGGACGATAAGACTGACACTTGCTTGTCGATTCACAGAGACTGGTAATTGAGTGACTGCCAATTTCCCCGCCGGGGTGTTCAGCTCAGCAGCTCAGCTTTCACTTGCACTGTCACCGTCACATGTTTGCTGCCCATTAACTGCTGATGCTGCCCCTGCTGCTGTTGTCATTGTCATTGTTGATGTTCTTCTTCTTCTCCTTCTTCCATTTCGCTGTCTGAGAGCGTCTTCTGACTCGTCACACTACACTACCGCCGGGAGAACAAAAGAACTGCCGACAACCAGAGAGAGAGAGAGAGAGAGAGAGAGAGAGAGAGAGAGAGAAAAAACACTCTGCCTGTACTTTCAGTTGACGAGGCACTGTGTGCTGTGTTTGAAGACACGACACCCTAAGAGCACGTCTGCTGCTGCTTGTACAGCTGCTGCTTTATACAGTCGTACACAGTTGCCAGCAGCATTTAGCAAGCACAGACTACAGCAGCAGACACTGGTCGCCATTCGCCGAAGTCTTCACTTTCACTGAACGGACTTTCACTTTGATTGCACACACATCTTCATCAGCTTTTCACCATCTTCTCTTTCTCCTCCTGATCAGCGACCATGGACCAGGCCTCCTCCGTGTCGACCCTCTCGCCGCTGTCCTCCTCGCTGGTCATGTCTCCGACGCCCTCCTTCCTCGACCTCTCCTTCTCCCTCAACTCCATGAACTCCTCTTCCACCTCGGCGGTCAATGTCAGCGGCGGCAGTGGCAATGGTCAGCTGCCGCTGTCCTCCTCCTGCTCGTCGCTCTCCTCCAGCACCAGCACCATCTCAGACTACGCCACCGGTATCTGTAAGTCTATGAGTTTAGATAGTAAGAATATCTTCACTTCTAACTCTCACTTACCTCTCAGCAAACTCTCTGAGCAATGAAATCGCCGTCCACCTGATGCTCTTCAACTCCATCGAGATCATGTCGCGGCGCTTCGCCAACGACCAGATCTACTACAAGCTGACGTGCTTCGACATGAACAGCATGGAGACGACGGTGTCCTCCTCCTCGATGCCTTCCACGCCCACCGTTTCAAGTGCTCCAGTGGTGGCCATGGACGAGGAGAGCCTGGGCATCGGCGATGAGTACAGCTGCGAGATTGCCATCATGAACAATGAGGAGTTCAAGTTTCACGCCCAGGCGACCTTTGGGCGGCTGCTGAAGAAGAACGAGTTTGTGATGGTCCGCGCGAGGATGCCCATGACGGAGAACATTGTGAGTCATTTTGTGTACATTTTATAAATTTAACCATTCTACTTACCAATTTCTTCTCTAGGGAGTCCGCGTGGACCTGTTCAAGCGGACGGTAATGCCGGCACCGCCCACTACCGTCGACGACGACGGCTCGTACATGTACGAGAAGATCGCCTTCTGCTACATCTACCCGCTGGACGTGACGGAGAGCAGCGATGGCCTCTGCCGCATGCCCATCACCTCGCGCACCGGCAAGCTGGTGGCCCGCATCAAAGGTTAGCCTTCTTGTTCAGTGTGGGGTGTGCTGGTGCCTCCTGAACTGAGGTGATGACACATACACCTCCTCCTCCTCCCTCCCTCTCCTCCTTTGCAGCCCAGTACTTCATCGCCCGCCCGTACGCCGGCAGCGAGCCGCAGCAGATGATCAAGACGCGCCTCGCCCGGGGCAACTCCAAGGCCTGGCAGCTGAAGAACGGTGGCCTGGACATTGGTCACCGAGGGGCGGGCTCGGCGCGACGGACCGACCGCAGCGAGAAGGTGCTGGAGAATACGGTCGATTCCTTCAACTACGCCTTCAAGAAGGGCGCCGACATGGTGGAGCTGGACGTGCAGATTAGCAAGGACAAGGTGCCCGTGGTGTACCACGACTTTAATGTGAACATTGTTCTGCAGAAGGTAATCAGAGGGATCATTTTGGATCATTATTATCAGGTACTAACGACTCCTTTTGTTCTCCTGTTGAGCAGAAGGACCGCAACATCGAGACCTACCCGGTGAACATCAAGGACCTCACCTTCGACCAGCTGCAGATGCTGCGCACCAATCCGGTCCGCCACGACGGCGACAGCAAGCCCGCCTACGAATTTGACGAGGACGAGGGCCAGCAGCCGCACAACCAACCGTTTGCCAGCTTCAAGTCGGTGCTCAATCACGTGGAGCCGCAGTGCGGCTTCAACGTCGAGATCAAGTACCCGCAGAAGAAGATTGTAAGTTTGAAAAAATTGGAAAGTTTTGGATAGAGTCTCTATTTCTGACACACTTTCACCTAACTCTTCTAGAACGGGCAGTGGGAGGCGGAAAAGTCGCTCGACCTGAACGAGTACGTCGACCTGGTGCTGCAGGACCTGTGCAACCACGCCGGCGACCGCAACATCATCATCTCCTCCTTTCACCCGGAGCTCTGCTCGCTGTAAGCACCACCGGAAGTTACTATTACTAATAGTCCTCTAATTTCTAACACACCCATCTTTTTCCCCTCCTCTCCTCAGTGTGAAGCTCAAGCAGGACCGCTACCCGGTCCTCTTCCTCACCCAGGGCCTGACGAAGAAGTGGATGCAGTACGAGAACCCGCTGAATCACTCCATCGAGATGGCCACCTACCTGGCGCTCAGCACCGGCCTCTACGGCATCGCCGCCCACACCGAGGACATTCTCCGCGACCGCAATCTGATTCGCTTCGTCAAGTCGAAGGGCCTCATTCTCTTCGTCTGGGGGGATGACCTCAACGACCGGGAGGTCATCGCCGGCCTGAAGAAGGAGGGCGTCGATGGCGCCATTTACGACAAGTTAGTAGTAGTAACAGGCTGGGCGGCACTTCGGGGACTTTACTTTTGTTACCTTTACACTCTTTTTCCCTTCCTATTAGAATTGATTTGTACGTCAGCAAGGAGGATCGTCTGCCGCAGGAGGGACAGCATCATGAGCAGCATCATGAGCAGCAGCAGTCGGTGGCCATGGACGTTCAGTAGATGTGTGGACGTTCACTCTACTGACGAAACCGATGACGATGATGACGACCACTACCTACTACCTACTAACTCTCTCACTCACTCACTCACTCACTCTAGAACATGTTTTACTGGCACACAAACGAAGTCGTTTTTATGTGCTCCCCTCCCTCCCCCGTTTTCCCGCGTGTGATTATTAAACCCTGCTTCACTTTTTATTACGCACATTTCCTCCTCATCCTCCTCCTGCTCTGCTCCTCAGCTGATCAAGGGAAAAGACAAAGTAGTACTACTACTAGGAGGAGGAAATGATGTGTGTGTGCAATCAGAGACAGCCTTCCCCCTCTCCCCGGTTTCCATGTGATGAAAGACAGATTAGTGGTGGTGGTAAGGGAAGGTAAGCTAAGGTAACGGTGGTAGAGCTGTTGTTGATGTTGCTGCAACCATGAACACCATTATCACGCCGACGTGAGTAGCCCTAGCTACGCTCAGTTAAGGCAAAGTGATGTGGAGGAGCAATGGGAAAAAGAAGGCATGCCTACTGCAGCAGCAGCCGCTGGCAGCACACACCTGTGCTCTTTCTCTCTCTGCCGCTGATAATAATGTGGCAATGAGATTGTCCGCTTCTCAGCCAACTGCTGCTGCTGCTGCTGCTCACCACGGTGTGTGTGTGTGTGTACAACGGTGGCAAGTGAAACGAAAAACAGTGAAGATCATCATCACCCCCATTGAATACCCTACCCCAACATGGACTACAGCGAGTGGCACCTGCTGAACGTCTACCTCGACCTGAACGAGCTAGGCCTGGGCATGAGCATCCGGGGCGGGGTGGACTCGGCGGACGGCCAGGGGAACACTGACGTCTACATCAGCAAGATACTCGAGGGCGGAGCGGTGCAGCAGGACGGAAGACTGAGAATTGGTAAGTGGGGAGATGATGGTGGTGATGTACAGCTGTATTGATTAATTGAATACTAAACACCACTACTACTTCTACATTCTCCCTTCCTTCCTTCCTTCCTTCAGGCGACATCCTCCTGGAGGTGAACGGCGTCTCGCTGCAGGACATCACCCACAAGGAGGTGGTGCAGGCGATCATGAAGGCCGCCCCCTTCCTGCACCTCTACGTCAAGAGGCGAAAGAATGAGAATGTGGGTGATGATAGCAGAAGAGCCAACGTATTTCAAGAAGAGGAAACTGATGAAGAGGATGACGATGATGAGGATGAAGAGGAGGACGAGCCGCTGATGGGCGACCGAGGTGATGATCACCCCCCTCAGGTGAAGAGACCACTGGGCAGAGTGAGCGGCAAGCCATCACCCCATACCACTACCACCACCGACTTCACCACCGCCTCCTCCAGTCTGATCACCGTGCCGCTGACCCGTGACGCCCACAATGGCTTCGGCTTCAGCCTGACGGGGGGCGTGGGCAATCAGCTGGCGCCCAACGACCCGGCGATCTACGTGAGCAAGCTGGTGCACGACGGGCCCGCCCACCGCTGTGGGCAGATTCAGGTGGGCGATCAGATTGTGGCCGTCAATGGGACGCAGCTGACGAAGGTGCCCTACCAGTGGGCGCTGCAGCTGATTCGCAGCAGTCCGCCGAGCAGCAGCTTCACGGTGAGGAAGGCGCTCACCTGGGACTGAACCCTGCGGCCCTTGAAGTATTTTCCATTAGAATTCACTCTTTATTTTCTTGGCTCTTCTTCAACACCAGCCCCGTCACCTGGCTGCCCACCTTTCCGCCAAAGGACAGCTTCGGCGTGGCGAACTCATGTACCAGTGTCAGGTCACCTGCTGGTGACGGCAGCTGCAGCAGCAGAAAGCGACACAGTTCCTCTCGAGTAAAGTTGCAGGACATGATGACCAGGTGGCCGTTTTCGGTGAGATGGTTGAGCACAAAGGAGCGGTAGAGGCGGCGATTCGCCGCCAGGTCACNTGAGGAAGGCGCTCACCTGGGACTGAACCCTGCGGCCCTTGAAGTATTTTCCATTAGAATTCACTCTTTATTTTCTTGGCTCTTCTTCAACACCAGCCCCGTCACCTGGCTGCCCACCTTTCCGCCAAAGGACAGCTTCGGCGTGGCGAACTCATGTACCAGTGTCAGGTCACCTGCTGGTGACGGCAGCTGCAGCAGCAGAAAGCGACACAGTTCCCCTCGAGTAAAGTTGCAGGACATGATGACCAGGTGGCCGTTTTCGGTGAGATGGTTGAGCACAAAGGAGCGGTAGAGGCGGCGATTCGCCGCCAGGTCACCGTCGGGCATCAGGGCAATCGCATCGTAGGTGCCCTTGTCCACGAGAACGTCACAGGCAGGAAAGGAGGAGGAGGAGGAAGAGTCTGATGAGCTGAGAATGTCCACCACTTTGAACTGTATGGCGGGTGCAGTTGATTTGTACAGCTGTCGGCAGAAGTCGATTGCCTTAGGCGAGTAGTCGATGCCCAGCAGATTGAGGAAGGAGTGGCGAGTGGCCAGCTGTGAGAGGATGTACCCGTTGCCGCAGCCCACGTCGCAGATGGAGGCTGTAAAGAGAAAAGGTCAATTAAATTATCATCACATCCGTCATCATCATCAGCAAAGAGCACTTACCCTCCTTGGGGACATTGTCGGCAATCCACTGGATGATCATGTTGGTGTTCCGCCGGCCGAACCACGTCTCGCCCTGGTCGCCCGAGTCGACGAAGTTCTCCAGCTCCGCCTGGTAGAAGTCCTCCCAGTAGGCCTTGGTGCCCAGCTCGCTCTCCGTCAGGTGCTCATCATCATTCTCTTCATTCTCCATCTTGGTCTTCAATGTTAGAATCTCCTCTTCAAATTCGAAGCACAACAAAACAAGCAAGCACGTGCACTTCAGCCAGCAAACAGACAACAATCCGAACGCTCTCTGTGAATGAGAAGCGACGCAGGCAAGTACAGAGAGAGAGAGAGATTGCACTACACAATTTATTACTTCTTCTAACGGGATTGACAAATTGATTTTTACAGGAAAGATTCAAAGATATTTCGAAAAAGGACTAACTGGGCTCCTCCAGCACAATAATTCAGCAGTATGTACACAACAGAGGAAGACAAACTCCCTTCTTCAAGACCTGTCCGAGTTCTTGTCCTTGTCGTCCTCTGCGTCCT